GCCTAATAATTCTGCACTCCCTGTATACACCCCTACTAGAGCACTAAGATCATCTTCCCAGTCACTTTTGTTCTGTCTTTTTAATGCCATCTAACATGCTAGTATGTTGGTACTTTGCCATAGCCCTCATCCTTCCCTGCTACTTCATCTCACCCTGTTGTATGTTAAGCACTTTTGTACACCACTGGTTTTAAATGTGTTATATAAATAAAGTTTGTTGGTGGTGGTGATACTAAATTGCCAATAGGTGTGAATGTGAGTGTGAATGGTAGTCTGTCTCTATCCTTGCGTCAGACTAGCAATCTATCCAGGGTGTACCCTGCCTCTGGTAGTTGGGATAAGCTTCAGGCCACCCATGCTCCTGATAAGGATAGCTAATAAGAGAACAGACGGAAATAGGTTTTGTGTTGTTTGATTGTGTAAATAGGTTGCAAGCTGTAAGCTGCAAAGAAAGTCACCTAAATCTGAAAAAGGGGTGAATGTTGTTCCATTTAATGAAATATGCACATAAAAATATGCATTTATTTGAAAATCGGGATGTTTACGCATGGATTTCTTTCATGTTTAGCAGTAGACCAATGAAAATATAACATACAACAATGACTCACAGACCAATTTGATTCAATGCTTAAGAGTTTAATAATGGAGGCGAGAAAGAAGAGTTCATGCAGTCGAATGAAGTTTTGCTAAAAGCATTCTTTCCATTACACATTCATTTTGATGCTATTAAAAGAGACAATCCAGCTCCAGGTTACGGCGTTTGCCGATTCATTCCTTATGTAGCATTACAGCAAAATAAAAGGAGTAAAGATATAAAAAAGATTCTTCCGGGGTAATTGAGATTATTTGCTTCTTTGTTTGGTGAACTATAGCTTCACGTCAGACAAGGAGTTATCTTCTTTTCTTGACGCAGACAAATGGGTATCGATAGTTACAGGATTTGTCATTCATACACTTCAGTCCTGCAAGCAGCAAACATTGACATTAATTGAAACCATAATCATTTACACATATACAAATCTATACTAAAAGAAATTAAAATAAAAACATTAAATTTGTGGAAAACACAACACTGTGTAATTGTTGTTTAAAAAACAAGTTTGATTTGATAAAAAAAAATAATACAACAGCTGTCTTGTTACTAGTTGTCATGCCAAATAAATGAGAATTATTTGGGAAATCGTGGATACTTTGACAACATTTTCCCCTCAATATTCATAGAATACTTTCATTTGAGGATTCACCTGTCCAGTTCATGTGTAGGCAGTGCTCTCTGCCCCCAATGTTGTTAGGCTCTCCACGACACCAGTATGCGTATGTAAAAGGAGTTCCATCAATCCAAAACCAATAACGCTCCTAGAAAAAGCAATAAAATCGACAATAAAACATTATTGAATATTCATAGCATGTAGCTTGTTTTTAGAGAGACTGTTTTTCAAAGCCCAATTCTCTATGGCTAGAGTAATCTTTCTAACTGTCAGACCATGCATAATTATGAGTAGTATACCTGTTGAGCATCAGAGCCTCCAATCCATGTAACTGGGTAACTGTGAGTGGAACGATATATGACCCTCTGAATCTTGCGGTACTCTCCAAGGCTGTGTACAGATGCCAGGTTTAAATGCATGGACTGACAGTGTCTCTGTAGTGGAGATAAACAGACACCAGAAATTTCAAGATTTGCGATTTAACAAAGCAAGACTTCAGAAAACAAATTAGCAAACAGAGAAAGAGTAAATAGTGAATCCAAATAACTGTTTACCTGAGCTTCTATAGTGAAAGGGAAAGTAGCGGAAGTATCTGTTTCC